GGCGTCATGGAGATTAAGTGAATCGTAAGAGATGCTCTCCACAAAAAAGTAGCATCGGTGAGCTCTTTGATATTTGTGCTCAGATTTGTGATGTGAACACTCCTCACATGCCACGCTTGCTTCCACGCTGCTTGATGCTGACACAAGCCAACACTAAACGTGCTAACTAGCAACGCCTCCGGTCAGCCTCGAGTTTGGGATGTTGTGCTGTTTGCTTCCTGTGCTACGCAGGCGCTGTGCTTGTCAAAATCTAAGCTGCCATCTCCATAAGGATCTACTAACGCATGTCCCTCCTGACCTATTGGTTGACAGATCCAACCATTGAGGTGGTCAGTCCAATGCAGGACATTACCGTTGATGAAGATGGCACGGCAGAGTTCATATGCCAGTACTCTAGGCCAGTGCAGGCCACGTGGAAGAAAAATGATCAGGAAGTTCATGCAGATGGGCAACGAGTCATTGTGGAGCAAGACTGGAATGTAGCCAAGCTAAAAATTAAACCCGCCCTTCCAGAAGACACTGGCATCTATTCTTGTGAAGCTGGAGGCACTAGAGTGGTGGCTATGCTTGATGTTCAAGGTGAGGTCTTCCAGCCCAGAAGGAAGACTGTCAGTGTGATTGAATAGAAACCAAAAGAAGACCACAGCAGCAACGGATATACAGTGGCAAATCATGACCTACTCATTGGGTGTTCATTCCACTACCAACAACAGTGACAAACATATTGGGCAGTTAGCGCAGATTGAATGTGGAACTGTGCAAATTTCCATTGGAATTTAATTCCAATTAATGCCCCTGTATAAATCCACGTGGGCATAGGTGGTCACCCTTGCTCTGCAATGAACTGAATTTGGTTCTAGCACTAATCAAAGGGATATGTCCTGCTGAGTTATTGTCATGGTATAGAGGTGATGTTGCTGGACTTAAGAAAACAATACTACTACTGAGCCCTCATGTAATGCTTTTTTGCATACAAAGTGCTTTAAAAACGTTAATGGATTAAGAGGCATTTGTTTTTATTTTCAGTTGATCTAATCTACAGCTAACCTAGCTTGAGTAATATAGCTAATGAAAATGTCGATTGCTTGAAAAGCATTTTCTAATTGGTAATTAACTTTTGCAAACGTCCTTGGGAAAGAGACAATGGAAAAATAGAAGAATTTTTTTTCTGTAATAGTGCACGATTCTGCTGAACCCCGCAGGTGTTTTACTTTTGAGTTGAATGGGTTCAGGGTTTGACATCACATATATATAATCTTTATTAGTGTAAATAACAGGTGTGAGGATCAAAACTTTGCATTTGTTTCTGACTCAGTTACTCTGAGGGTGAGTTCAAGGGTCACAATTTTTTTCTCTCTAGCTGAGGTACCTGTATCACCCCAAACAGTAGTATACAAGTGCCTTGCAGTCTTTCTTGTAGGTATATATTCTCAATGTAGGACAGAGTGGGAGCATCTACATGTGCAATTAGCATGCCCGGATAAACTGCACCAGTGTTTATTGCTCCCAGGTGCAGTATTTCCACGTGCGCCCAGGACTGCAGCACTTTGAGCTGGGCTGGCAGAAGGCCCAGGAAGTCAGCCTGCAAGCTGGGGGCTCCTCTGATTTGGCTCAACATGCTATGGAGGGGCTGGCCTGGGGCATGAGGGTACTTCAGTGCAGGGCTAGCCAGCAAGCACCTCTGCACTGTAGCGCCCTTGTGCCCTAGCCAGCCCCAGTCACCATCTACATGTGTCGCGGTGGAGTAAATAACTCCACCATAGGACAGTACTTGTGTCAAGCAGTACTATGCTATGGTGGAGTTAATTAGTTTACTCCTGCCTGATAGTGCTGCACATGTAGATGGTGACACTTTACTGTGGAGCTAAATAGTCAACTCTGCAGTAAAGCACACGTGGAGATGCACCCAGTGAAAACTAAATATAGGTCCAGATCTTATTTCACTTCTTAGTGGACTCGGGCATCTAAAAGTAATCTTGTTCCCTCCTGCTCAAATCTCTGAAAAACTGTTAAAGCCTCTACTTGCGCAGTGTGCTGTCATCTTAGCCTCGAGGCCAGGTCAGAAAAAGAAGCAAGGAGAAGGAAAACCAATCCATTCTTGCATTAATGTTTTTTTAGGGACTTGAATGTGGCAAATTAGGATTATATTTAGCCACCAGGCCTACTAAGTGGAACAAGAAGTGACTTAATTCCAGGAAAAAATTGCAAGGGACATTTTCAGGCCTGGTACTGGGGATAAGTAGAAGGTGTTTTGAACAAGAGTACCATGTGCTTGCTGGTATTATCTCCCAGCAGCAGTTTACAGGGCCTTGACATGCAATGGCTGCAGGTGCAGCCCTGACTCCCATTGACTTCAGTGGGAGTTCAGCATGGGGAACGGCTGTCCAAAAAGGTTCACAGCCTACCAGGGTGGATTTGTTTGAAGTCAAATCAATTTAAATTATGATTTAAATCACTCGATTTAATCATTCCTTTCTACAAAAAAGTGCATTCTTGTTGTTTGCTATCCTTTATTCATTTAACTTTTTGAAATTCTGCACTTTCAGAGAGAGGTAAGGACTTGATTGTGTGCGTACAACTTGCAGAGAGACAACAGGGCCAATGGGTGGGTAATCAGGCCTGCTATCTCCCACCTCCATATACTGCTTTTAACAAGGATGTTAACATCCCCTCTCATCTCCGTACACTGCTGTTAACAAGGATGTTATCTCTGGAGACAACAAACTCCCCTATGCCCAAAGAAGGGTGTTCATGCTCGAGAGCTTACAAAGAATTTTTCCAACTATTTAGTTAGTCTAATAAAAGATATCACATCTACCCAAAATACCTTGTCTGCCTATGATCTTTGGAGACACAAATCCACAGTTTGAGGACTGAAACTAAGCAGCATAGAGATGCTGAATGGGATCTTCTAGACTGAGCACTGAGTCCCATTGGGTAGAGTAGTTTTATTTAATCTTTACTAATCTATACAGGAGCCTCTGGGAACCCTATGAGATTATGCCCCTAATATAGTCCATGGCCTGTTGTAACCTATTTATACAACTTCTAAAAAGGTAACATGAATATGTTGTCTCAAATAATATATAATTAGAAGTTATAATCCCTATTCCATGATGATGTCTTTGAGTTTTAACATATCCTAAATTAAAACCCCAGTGGAGCCACCTACCCTGCATTTGGGGGCTGGACTTGATGATCATCCGAGGTCCCTTCCAGCCCTAATGTCTATGAACTCTATGAAGACTATCTTTATATGTTTTCTTTTTAAAAAGCATCTTACCAAAAAAAAAAAAAAAAAAAAAGATTAAATAAAAAAATCTGACTTGCATTTTTAAAAATCCATTTTTTTCCCCCAAAAATCATTGATTTTTTTTCACCCTGAAGCCTACCATTTAAAACAGAACTCTACCAATCGCACCTGAACACTCCAGTAATCAAAGTAAATCAGGATCAAAGCTGTGGAGCACTGCTCACATGTGATGTCTTAGTAACTCGTTTCCTACCATGTGCACAGGGAATTCTCACTTCCGGTTAGCAGGCCCATTACTATGATCAGAAATAGTGATGTTTCCGATAAGAGGTCTGATCTCTAGCGTCCTGTTTAGGTTCAGTCTGTGTCATAGATACTAGTCAATCATATGACGTTTGTCAGAGAAACATTATTTATTATAGCATTCTGCGCTTCTGTAGTGCCTCCCTTTTTAGGGTCTGAAGGCTTTTAATAAGTATTAATCCAGTTAGTCTTCAGAAACCCTCTAGGAGTTTGTCTACATTTACGTTAGGAGTCTAAACCACAGGGATGCTAAATGACCGGGATAAATTTAAACAGGATTGGATGCTGCCCCTAGCTCCAGTCTGGTGCTCGAGCCACAGCACCATTGTTCTTCCCTTTAAACAGGCATGTTGAGAAATGTTGGTGACTTAATTCTGCTAGCAAATAATCAGTTCAGTATTAATATTCTAGGTGACAACCCATTGCACGTGTGAGATGTCAGAGTGACTAAGGAAGCTGCTAAGCAGAAATGGTTCGTGACACTGTTATAACATGAGGATCCTGGCATGTAATTCATATAAATACCACATGCAAACTGCTTACCCAGCGGTGTGTGCAAAAAAATTGCTATACTGTAAAATAGCACATGCCTAGCTTGCCTCTGCAGTTAGCCTGGCTGCACGCACAAATTGGGTGGGTGCATCAAATGGATTACCTACACATGAAGTTGGTCATGTAGTTGCAGTTATTGTGTGTGCACAATTTTGCATGCACACTTGCTCCTACACTCCGATTAGAAAGCCAGGCTCTGCATGTATTTCAGAGGAATTTAGGAATATATTAAAGGCTGGTGACTGTAAAGATATCACCTATTTAAAAGCTTGTCATTTTACAAATGTTCCTTTAAAGGGCTTTGAAAAAGATTAGTTCGCCTAGTTATCAGGTATCATGGCATTGCCAACAATAGTCTCTTCCTGAAATAAAGGTATGGCATATTTTGCATGAAATGTGGTAAAGTTTTAACCCAAGCTGTCTACCCAAATGTGCCCAGCAGTGCTATGCACTGTACTTGTGGAGGAGGTTGATAAGAAATGCTTCCTATTTTGCACAAAATGGATCTAATTATTGTCTTGCCTTGGCCATGGCTCTTTGTATCATTTGCCCTTGAAAAATGGACCTACGCATATAAACTGTATATAATTCCTTTCTTTTTTCATGAAGCCAGTGGTCAGGTTACCAGATAAATGCTGATTAGACCCAGAAGGATTTATCAATTCACTATTAAGCTACATCACTGCTGTGGACTTTTTTGAAACTCTAAGTTGATGTGACAATATCATTGAAATTAAAAGGCGAATCCACAAGATAGTTTTCCATGTATGATTTTCCTTGCATTCGCTTGTCCAGGAGATGGGGATTATTTAGGATGTTCCAAGATGGATTAATACTTGAATGTGTGAGAGCAAAACAGCTGATGTTGTCTATCATTTCCCTTTTGCTTTAGCCAAGAACAGTATTATGCAGGGTTTGGAGAATGTGGAAGCAGTAGAAGGTGGCGAAGCCCTGTTTGAATGCTACCTTTCCAAACCAGAGACCTACAATTATAACTGGCTGATTGATGACGAGCCTGCCAAAACTGCAGAAAACGTTGAGATGGTTTACTTTGAAAATGGGCGCAGGCATCTCCTCCTGTTAAAGAACCTCACTCCCCAGGACAGCTGCAGGGTGACATTCATGGCGAGCGATGCAGTGACATCCGCCTTCCTGACGGTGAAAGGTAATGCTGATTCCCTGGGGCTATGATAACAGTCCCCAACGAAGCTTGAATAGCAGCATGGGTCGGTCTGCTCCCTGCTTTACTTCTGTTCCTCAAAGAGAGAAGGGTTGCTGAGTTTTCTATCTGAGTTTTCATGTTCTGCATGACATGGCCATCTTTGTGAGCTGCTGCATATGTCACACAGTGCTAATGTAATGTTAAATGAGCTAGAAGCAGGCAATACCTACAGGATTAGTGAGTATCCTAATGGGACATGAAATAGGCACTTGAACACTTCACGTCATAGTTACATCATCATCATCACAGATTCCAGCGTTTCAGAAACGTTGGGAACTACAATCAGCTTGTAAAGCTGCTTCCTATAATAGACCAGAGCAAAGGCCCGAGTCAGGTCCATCTTTAATTCACTGGATTTTATATTGTTTTAACACAATACAATAAAGCCTTGGCGGTCCAGCTCCTGAAGGCTTTGCCGTTCATAATTTCACTGCATAACCTAGGTTTCAAAAGAATATCATCAAATGACTATGTCTCAGGATGCATCAAGTAACTCCGATCTGCCAAACTTTGCTTCAGTACTTTGGAGTCTGATTGTGTGTTTTTTTAACTGCAGGATGGCGCCTGGAGTTTTTGAAGCCCATAGTTGATACTGAAGTCCTGGTTGAGGACCAAGCTACATTTAGCTGTCTTTTAAGTGAAGCGGTGCCAGTCAGTGAGATTGCCTGGTATATTAATGACATGGAGATCCAACCTGACGAGAACTGGGAAATCCAGGTAGATGGTAACAGCTACAAACTGATCCTAAAGAAAGCCCAACTGCATCATTCTGGAGAGGTGACATTTGCATCAAGGGATGCCATTGCATCAGCCAAGTTATCTGTAATAGGTAGGTTCACGCATTATATATTTCTACCAATGCTAGCCATTTGTGCTTGAATCCTCAGCCTTCAGGGCTAAGCCTCATCACTCTGATTTTCTTTGCAGTTGTGCTGGTTTCTTTTCTCCTTCCAGCTTTTCCAGAACCGACAAGATTCTGCTGCACTATTGCGCCCTGATTGAAAACATTTTGCCTTGTTAAGTGAAAATTGAACCAAGCTAATGATGAGAAATCTTTTCTCAATATTAGCTGAAATCCATTGTTTTGTGATGTATAGCTCTTCTGTATGGCATGAAGGAGAAGCATGCAGAAACCAGTTCCCTAAGCAAATGTGCTATTTCTTATTTAAAACAATACTCTGCAAACTCCCCAGCTTTAGGGAGAGTTGAAATAGTAAGTCAAGAAAGAATATCGATTTAAAGAAAAAAAAATCTTACTTTCAGTATGGACTTTCACGGTGAGTCAGTCTTTCTGATGTTGTAGTGCGTAAATTTGCTGTGCACTTATAGCGTATTGCTTATATTTAATGACACATCAGTTAGTGTTCATTTAAGTCCTATAGGTCATATTGGAGCAAATTTGCAATAACGATATCTAATTTTGGTGCATCTGTATTTTAGGAATCCTGAAATTACTGGGCATGGGTCAAGTGGGTTGTTAATCTTCATGAGTTGTAGCATGAACCCAAACAAGAAGCTGATTGATTGTCAATCCAGGCTTTACCCATTCAAAGCAGTGTTTTGGGTTCCCAGGATTTAGAAGCTAGCGTTGGTATAATTTATCCTGCAGTTTTGTGTTATGTATTATTTCAGTGACCAAACAGTAGAAGGCCACTTACTTGGTCATTGGCACTAAAGAGAGTTATTTCTCTCTTCTAAGTCAAAGTATATGTTGAATGGTTATGGGTTATTCTTTGGGTTAGGTGGAGTGTAATGATTAGTATCCAAGGAACCTGTAGGGACACGGTTCTGGTGTCTTCTTATACTCTTGTTTTATTTACTATTTTACATAGGGAAAAACACCCCAAAGACAAAAGCCTTGGGGCAGTTTCCATCAGATCTATTAGAGAGATTGTGCAGTCTTGTGATGACTCAATTTCCATTAAGGCTAGGCCTGGAATGACTCAAATCTGGGCCTGACCATCCCTTAAAGTTGGGGATATTCTGGCCTGATCTTTGTATGTTAAATTCATCTCTACTTAGTATCTGATGGGGCAAGATGGCTTTAAATCTCTTAAGAATCAGGAAGGTGCTTTGGTAGATATTAGGCCATCTGCAATGGTTGGTTGGAAAGCATTGCTTGTTATTTCTAGGCTTTGGTTCACAGCCTAGCCTGAAAAGAGTTGTCTCTTCTGCAAAGACATGTCTTTTTCTTAGACCCAACGCTGCTTACATTCATACCAAGAGAAAAATTGAATGTCTGGCTTAGATGTTTCCTCATTTCCTATATAAGGGCTTCTTGGAGATCTTACTAAAATGCAGCAACCCTCTTTTTCTTTTGCCATGCGTCGCTGGAACGTTGTTGTACCCTCAGCCCTCCCTGATCCCCCTGAAGATCCAGAGATTGTAAGTAAGAGCAGCCATTCTGTAACTCTGTCCTGGTTCACCCCCCTGAGCAACGGCGGCTGTGGCATCCTAGGCTACAATGTTGAGAGGAAACTCCCAGATAGTGGTTGGCAGCTGTGCAACGAGGAGGTTATTCCAAACACCGAGTTTGTGGTTGACAACCTCAGGCCAGGAGAGCCCTACCGATTCCGCGTTGCTGCCATCAACAAAGTGGGTGTTGGCAAACCGGTGCACATCCCTCAGACCGTGCAGCTAGGTGAGAAATGGAGATGCTCCTATGGCGCGTCAAGAGCTGGCCCAGGCCTGTGTTTCGCATGGCATGCCTGCTTCCACGCACACGCAGGGGACCCCGCCCTGGAGTGACGAGACTACACGATGGCCTCTTTCCATGCTATGATGCAAGCCCAGTGTTGCCAGGTCCAGGAGAGAGGGTGGGAAAAGTGTTCCAGGCTGAAGCAAAGCGAAACCTGCTGCGTTGTCTATCTGTTCAACGCCTTTCTTTCCAAGCTGCATCTACCTGCCTTGTGGCCTGCAATGCATCTCTGTGTTTTGTCTGATTGCCCTGATGGAAATCGGATGCAGTGGTTGAAAAGGGGCATGCTGGAATGGCTATGTCATTGTGTGATTGATGGTACCTCCGACTCAGGATGCATGCAAGGAGAGGCAGTATTGCCTCCATACTATGCCCCTATGTCTCTCTCACTTTCTCTCTTTATAATATTTGTGGATTTCTTGTGTTTACCACCTGAAACACATAATGGTGGATACTGATTTCCAGTTGGTTCAGTATCTTTTTCTGGAGCCCTCCACATTATAAAGAGACAGAGTACCACTCTTTCACTGCTCTCGGTGGCTGTCTTGTAATGATTCTTTCTACCACCCATCACAAAGGATCTTGTTTCTTCCTAAGCACTATTTGCTTTCTACTGTTTTTTCTATTTCTTTGTCGTCTATTCTTCTATTCATTTTTTATATCTTTTTTTTTTTTACAACCTTGGCTAAGTTATGTGAACATCCAAACACCATATTTACTCCATGTTCCGGCTAGACAGGTATTACATATGTTCATCTCTCCTGCTCTTTGGGTAGTGGTGTCATGCGGTTGGGTTGTGTTTTGAAGGTCACCTACCAAAGTGAAGAACCTAATGAGACATTTTCCCACTATCTGGGAGTTTAGACATTAGAACGAAGATGTCATCCTTTTCCCACCAAATATTAGATGGAGGCAGCTTTCAAGAACCTTTTTCCCCCCTTTTATATCTTCCTCCTATATTGAATTATTTCTTTGTCGCATTAAGGCAACACCCCTCTCCATTTATCTCCGAGTTCCTAACTTATAGTAAGACCATGTAGGACCAATATGGCCAGACTTGAGGGTTATGTGAGGTCATATGTGAGATTTGGCAAGAGTGCTTAAACAAGTACTAAATGACTGTACAGTAACCAGCATTACTGCGCAGTACCGTCCCTGCACGGTTCTTTTCCGATGCTACTGTGCATTAGCAACGAGCTTCTGCACAGAAGCTCCTTACTATGGTGCAGTAGTGTTGCCTTCATGATTAATGCCTGTCAATGCTACTGCATCGTAGCAATGAGCTACTGCATCGTAGCAACGAGCTACAGTGCCATAGCAACAAGCTACAGTGCCATAGCAACAAGCTATTGCACCGTAGCTCGTTCCTACAGCACAGTAGCATCTTGTGGACATGCACCCAGTGTCATGGTAATTCTTGGATCATTAGAGGTTGCAAACTCTAAATCCTATCTGTTTTCTTTCCTTTCATTTCCTTTTCTTTTCTCTCTCATTTTCTTTTTCCTTTTCTTTTCTTCATTGACTTTCCAATTATCATGTACAGCAGTTAAACAAAGAATCTAAAACTTAAAAGATTGAAAGCCTGCATAGTTCACAGGCTTCATGTTAGTCCTGTACTGATTTATTTAGGTCAGCATAGAGGAGAGGATAGTGCTTTTGCTGTCTTTAATGCCCTGATTTTTATTATTTCAGAGCCTCCGATTACGATCACTCATCATTTAGTAGGTAAGTCAGTCTTGGAAGGGGAGGTGGCCCACTTGGAGTGTGAGTTATCCAGAGAAAGCCGAGAGGCGGTTACCTGGCTCAAAGGAAAAGAACGCATACACGCTGGAGGAAGATATGAAATAATCTCTGAGGGCAAGAACCAGGCACTCCTTATTCATGCATTCAAGCCTGAAGACCAAGGCTCGTATACCTGTGTAGCTTCACCAAACGTCAAGTCCTCTGCCAGCTTGTCTCTTGAAGGTACAAGTAATTTGTGCTCAATGACTTACATTCATGCTGTTGATGGACACTTGGTTGCCTTGCTGTAATTAAGGCTGGAACTTAGTTTCCATTATAAGCCCAATAATTGGCCTCCCTCTAAAATCCACAAAAAAGATTATCAGCCTCAGCGTTTGTATGGTTAAGTCCATCACTGACTATAATTTCCCTGCGCCTTATAGATAACTAACTAGGATATAAGAATTTGTCTACCTGTTTTGATATGTTCAGATAAGAGTTTCCTGATTTATGATAAGTTAAAAAAAGGCCCTGAAACTTTGCAATTAAGAGTAAAAACAAAACCTAGAAAAGGAAAAGATACATTTGAATTTGCTAAATTAATATCATTAACATTTGGTGCACAGGTCTTTGATTAATATTTTAATGGCTTCCACAGAGTTTAGACTAAAGTTTAAACTGCGTCTCATTAGCTCCGATGAGCTTAATGTAGGTCATCAGCTGACCCCCTAGAAAGCCTACAGATAAGTTTTCAGGGTGGTTTAAAGTTAGTTCCTAGTTCCCACCATTTGGGCGTTTAGACACTAGAGTGAAGGTGGCATCTTTTTGTACCAAATCTAAGATGAAGGGGAGAGGACTCATAATGCAAAGTGATGAATAGGAGAAAGTTCTGAGTGCCAATAGGAGAGTATCTTTTTCACAGAAATGACCTTAATCAGGTATGCTACAGGTCAGTAAAGATGAATTAAGAAATAACGTGTTCTTCATGTTATTAGGGAATCGTGACATTTTTCAGCCCTTACCTCACTTGCAAGCAATGATGGTGAGAAGGAATAAAAATTAAGTTCATTAGAAGCATCTGCTCACATGAGAGGAGCATCAGCCTATGTCAAAGCACAGTTAATATATATTATTTTCCCATAAGCAAATGTCATCTCTGTTCTTTCAGTCAAAATGACCTCTACTGTAGGCAAAGCAATGAGAAGCCTTCTCTCTCTGAAAAGCACAGTGCATCAATATGTCCTATGGCAGGGTGAGGCCACTTGGAGAACAAAGTAGCTGCTTTCTCTGCAGGATGGTGGTGTTCTTCGAAATCCCAAAGTGTCATTTGCTAACACTGAGGCAGTCTGTAGTTAGTGCAAAGGTACCTCTTAAAGATGCCACCCTTTCCCTGACCCTAATAGTAAAGATGAAAACACATATATGTAGAAAAAACAATATGTCTACATATAAAACACACACATAAATAGGAATATACTATATATTCTTGCATATCACATGCCCCTAAATAAGACATGCACTTTGTTTTGGATAAAGCACCATAAAGAAAAAAAGATTTTCCAGAGTTATGGCTTGCATAGTGCAGGGGCAGAGTATTCTTCAGTTTATTCACCCTCCCTTTCCTGCTCAGCCAGAACCTGAACCTGAAACTGTATCTGTAACTTCTGAAGACTAGTCTCCATGGGTGGATCTATGATTTTGCAGATAGCTAAAAATAGTCTGTAGGGCTGTGAAATAGGAGAAGAGAGACCAGGAGTATCTAGCAGATGGCAAAAAGAAAGCTTAGGTTGATTAGTGGAACATCCCCACCATTAAAAAGAAGAGACAGTTGTTAACACCTGTGGAGTGAAGAGCAAGGAGCACTTAAGGCAGTTGGCACCCTCAGCTGCCTGAATATAATTGCCACTGCTGCTGCTGGGCAGATGGTTTTAAAGTGTGGATGGAACAGGGACCCAGAAATAAAGGCTGCTCTGATGTGGTCTCCAGTGGCTGCTCTCAAGTATGCTGAAGATGAGATCTCAGATCTCAGGTTGTTTCATCTCAGAGCAGCCTCACTGTTGTGGTTCCAGATTTGGAGTCTACCAGGGGCAGCAGACGGCCAAGACGCGCTTGAGGATGGCTTGGCCAGAGTACACTGCTGCCACAGCGTAGACATGTTTGCTGCAATCTGTGCTCTTGCTGATCCTCTGCAGGTTTGAACAGACACTCCAGGGCTTCTGTTGCACATCCTACCAAGCACTGTTTTCATGATGTATGCTTAGCCCAAAGCTGGAGAGTTTATAGTTCTGGAAAGTAGTAGTCAGATTTAATATTGCAGGGCCATACCAACATAAAAATGGTTTGACTTAGTAGGTTTAGGAATAGAATGATAAATCAGTTTTGTTCAGTGCTGGGCTATATTTTATGCACACCAAGTATGGTTTTTGTTTAAGGAAAAGCTTTGCTTTACTTTTGGTGGTATTTAGCTGTCTGGATCTGGAATGTCATTTTGGAGGCAGATGAGCATGCATGTAGAGCCCATTCAAAAGGGGACTGTTTTAAAGGGTAGTAGCTGGCACATTGTAATTGTCAGGTGCAAATGAGCAGAGAAAGATTCAAACACAGCAAAACTACTCCCACTTTAACCCCAGATAAAGCAGTGTCAAACTTGGAGTGCTTTTTGTGTCACTTGTCCAGACTTAGTCTGTCTTTAACATCTCCCCTCCTGAATCCCAATTAGTTCCCACAGTGGCCATGCTAAAAGAGGTCGTCCAGGAAGCACCTCCCATGAGCAAACCTGAAGAGATGGTAGATGGTCAGATCCAGCCCAGCTTGCCACCGGAGGCTGCTCAGGAGGGCGACCTGCACCTGCTTTGGGAAGCTCTGGCCAAGAAGCGAAGAATGAGCAGGGAGCCGACCCTGGACTCCATCAGCGAAGTGCCGGAAGAGGATGATAAGCTGCAGAAAGCGAAGAAGGAAGAAGCCGAGATGTCTCGTTATTACTCAGAGGAGTACTCCACATGCGACGAGCTGACTAGAACAGGAGAAGCAGACTTTTCCTTGACAAGCTCAGATGATGAGTCTAGGGCTGGGACACCTTCACTTGTGACTTACCTCAAAAAAGTTGGGAAATCTAGCATTAGCGTCAGCGGCAAGGTTCAGACAATCTCCACAAGTAAAACCTTGAAAGAGTGGGAGCAGTCTGGTGTTGAGGCTCCTGCACCTGCACCACCTCCCACACAGGCTGAGCCAGCAGCCCAAACAGAAGAGTTAGATGATCCTTCCATGAACAAGGCAGCTGTGAAAATTCAGGCTGCATTCAAAGGGTACAAAGTGAGGAAGGAGATCAAGCAGCAAGAATGCCCCGTGTTTGTTGAAACCTTCAAGGACTTTAATGGGGAGCTGGGGAGCACCCTGCATCTTGAGTGCCTGGCCCAGAGCAAAACCGATATGAAGGTCCGTTGGCTGAAGGACGGGGAGGAACTTTCCGATGGGCGCCACTATCACATAGATAATTACAGCGATGGGACCTGCTCCTTGATCATCACTGGCCTAGATATGCAGGATACAGGGACTTACACCTGTGAGGCATCCAATAAATTTGGGAAGGTTTCTCACAGTGCAAAGGTGGTGGTTGGCAGCCAGGTGCTGGAGGTGCCTCGTAAGCACAAGCCGGCAAAGCGCGTCAAGGACAGCGAGGCTGACAGCTCCTCCGGCAGCGAACTGGATGACGCCTTCCGCAAAGCAGGAAGAAGGCTTCATAAGATCTTCAAATCCAAGATCCCCACAGAGGTGTCGGATGTGGAGGAAGAGCTGTTTGTCAGCGCAGATGAAGGGGACGAAGAGGCGGTGGATCACCAGACATACCGCGAGGACGATCGGTACATCTACATCAAGTTCGAAATCCTGGCGGAGGCAAAAACAGCCGCTAGCCGCTTCCAAGAGATGTTTGCTGCTCTGGGTATCCCTGTAGAGATTGACATCCTGGACCAGGGCCCTAAGAAAATCGAGCTGCGCATCGGGAAGGCAATGCCGCCTGCCCAAGGTCAGATTCCAGCCCTAGCGAAAAGACCTCCACCGCCTCTGCTGACTTCTGATACAGGTGAGAACAGCCTGCTAGCCTCCCGTTAAAAAAACCATGTCTAAATCTGGACAGGAAACTACTCTTTCCCCCCCCGGCAAATAATTCCTACAAAAAAGAGAACTTTGGGGATCAGATATTGTTCTTAAAATCATGGGGATTTTGAAATTTTGAAAGAACCCCCCCCCCATTGTCCATTTTCTATTGTAAATATGTATCTATGGGGAAAGATTGGATAAGAATAATATGTACAGTGCAGCTGTTACAGGCAGAGGCCAAGCTGAATACAAGTTAGGAAAATTGCATTAGTTAACCCTAGTTAGGTTTTAATGAAGTTGACCATTGAAAGGGGGAAGCCTAAATTAATACGATTATTCTCACTTGAATTTAGCTTTACTTGGCCTGTTTCTTTCCCAGATCCCATAAAGGGTGCTTTAAGCCTAAAAATGTGTACCCTCTCTCTCCTAACTACACCAATTATTCCAGCTATACAACCAAAGAATAATGCCTCACCTCACAGATCTTATTTTTCTCAGGGCAGATTTGCCCCTTATAGTGCTGCAGATATAGCAGGATGCCGTATTTACTCTGCCACTGCAGATGAAGGACACCAATCTATTATTTAAAAGCTTACAAGTCAGCATCTCTGCAAGTCCCTTCCACTCACCCACAGTATAGCAGTGTTCCTGCAATGTACCCGTGCACAATAACACAGCCATCTGTTTCCTTTTTTCTTTCTCTAAATGACACTGCATTCAGCTCCCATCTTCATAACTGAGCTCCAGAACCAAGAGGTGCAAGACGGCTATCCAGTCAGCTTTGATTGTGTCGTTATCGGCAAACCTCTGCCCACTGTGCGCTGGTTCAAGGATGGGAAAGTCCTCGAAGAAGATGATCATTATATGATCAATGAAGACCAAGAAGGCTGCCACCAGCTTATCATCACAGCTGTAGTCCCTACTGACATGGGCGTCTACCGCTGTCTTGCTGAAAACAGCATGGGAGTGGCTTCGACCAAGGCTGAATTGAGAGTGGACCGTGAGTCTTTGGAAACAACTGAGAAATCTCAGAGGGTTAAAATAGTAATGGGAGAGGGGGTAAATTCAAATAATCTTTTAATACTGATGATACATAGTTGCATGTTTATTCTGAATCATCCAAGGGTGCCACCGGTTGGCTTTTTGACTAGTTTCTACTGGGATGTTGCTTTGTTGATAAAAATTGAGATGAAATAGTTTTAAGCTTTAATGGTTTTGCTGAGCATTTTTTTCCTTAACCATGGTATACATTTGAGGGCAACACGATTTTTGGCAGTTTCATCAGTTATATATGTTCATTAGTTGCTGAGCATAGTATATTTATTCCTAAAGGTCAGAGGAATCTCTTGCAAGGCTATTACCTCCCAGGGCATTTCTCTGTGCACTGTGATCTAAGCTTGGGTTCCCAGCTCACCCCCTCATGCTCCATGGAGGTTGTAATCAGGTAGAAACAGCATGGTCATCCCCAAGACAAAAAAGCCTAGGATCTCGTAGCGATATCAGTTGGTCCTAGACTTGATTACATCTAGCTGCATTTTGTCCGGAGGGGGCATAATAATGCATATAGTGAGTGGAGATAAATGATAATTAAATAGTGAGATCCAGAAGGCCAACACTTCTGGTAAAGCAATTTCAGATCCTGTAAGCTCTTTTAGCCATAACAGTTACAAACTGAAATGGTTACGAGCCATGGATCATGTACAATGTTAATTTTTCATTTAACAGTGACCAGTACTGACTATGATACAGCAGCAGATGCAACAGAGACATCATCTTATTACAGTGCCAAAGGATACGTCTCAAGGTAAAATATTACTGAGAGAGCTGCAAAAACCGGAGAATGTAGCACCATGCTAATTTTTCTTTATAAGTATTAGCATTCTGACACATTCAGCTAGAATAAAAATGGAGCAGACTCATGACACAGCCTTATTTTAGTGTAATTTATTTTACCATGGGGTAAAAGTTACCCCTTAGAAAGTGAAAAGTAGCAGCATACTGGGGTACTTCATCCAAGTCTGCTGGATGTGTATCTGCTTCCTTAGGCTGCATACACATGTTCAAATGACCTGGGAAAATTCTTTCAGACCTGTTCTCCTGGCAGAAAAATGTAGCCAGAGATGCCTGACCAGACATTTGAACGCTGAGCCCATGAAGAGCAGAAAACTTGCAGTGTTGACACTGCACAGCTACAGGGCTCCTGTGCACACATCTTGGTGTCCTGTGCAGACTCCCTCAGTCTGCCTGGTGACAGATAGCTGTAGTGCACAAGGCAGCCCTGACTGGTGGATCCTGACTGCTCAGAGTCAGCCAATGTCTCCTTGTGGCATAATGTAGGATTGTGAAAGAAGTGTGTTCTGCTTCCTGCACAACTGGAGTATTAGAGTCCAGTGAGTGACACACTATCTCCTGGAAGCGAGGGAGGGACCTCAGAACAGGCTAATTTCTACTTCTTTAAACCTCACTGTCTGCAGTATACTGATACACCCTGAGCTCTACAACACATAATTGACCAACTACAGTTGTTACACTTGAATGGTGAGAGATACTGCTGTGACAACACAACCTGCATTTCATGCTGAACTTCAGACAGGAGACTTTTCATTTTCCACACCTCTTTCAGTACTGCTCAATGCCTCCTTTTTCCTCCCAACTCTAATCTCTCCCTAGCCGGGAACAAGAGGAGTCCACCACTGAAGAGGAGCAGCTGCCTCAGATCCTAGATGAGCTTCATGATATTCACGTAGCTCCTGGGGCACCCTTGGCTAAATTTCACCTGAAGGTGAAAGGTAATGAGGACATTTACTATACGTTGCTCACTGTGCCAGTTATGAATAAGGTTTTACGGAAAGCTTGCATGCATGCTCCTAATCTGTTCATCCAATATATTTCATAACTGTGCATGTGTATACATATGTGCACAGATAGCTAACTACTTATACATCTAATTGGGCAACTCTTTGTGCAAGTTGTTTACACTTGTGTTACACATATTTGCGCACACAGTCATAGGTGGTGGAAGCTGGGGGCTAACAGGACTTAGCCCTCCTAAATGTGGGACAGTGGTAGGGCCACAAGGCAGCCTGGCCATGGGCTTCCAGCAGCTGCAGCAGAGGTGGGGAGGGGAGCGTGCACAGCGGTGAAAGAGGGAGTGGGGCTGAGGCTGGGGCAGGTGTGGCATAGCCAGAACGGGGTGTGGGACTGAGCTGTGAGTGGCACATCCACAGGGCATGGCTTCTGCTCTTATGCGCACACCAGGAGGCACTGAGGATGTGTGTTCCTGGATCTGTGCACAAGGGAGGGCGGACTTCCACTGCGAGCTGGGGCCAGGGCTATACTGGACTGTTCCCAGTGTGGGGGCCTTGGCTAGGCTGTGCTTGGGGCGGGTGATGGTGGTGCCAGGAGAGGAGTTAGGAGGGGGCTGCAGACATCCCAATGTTCACTGTAGCCCCCCAACTCCCCCACTCAGAGCTGCCACCACCCGTCCTAAGCACATCATGGCCCAACCCCCGCCCAGGAAGAGCCTGTAACCTGCTCTCAGGCACACGGCCCATATGCCCTCATGCAGCAGTGGGAGCCACCATCCCCTGCCCATGCTGGGCACCCCCCGGACAAGCTGCTCACAGCTCAGTCCTGAGTCCTGCCTCAGCTGTGTAGGGCCTGCTCCAGCCCCAGCCCCAGCCCCTCGCCCTCCCTCACTGCCATGGGGCAGGGCTGGGCGGGGGGAGGAGGAGGGCAGATTGAGGCCCCAGCAGTGAGGGAGGGAGTGGGGCACAGGCAGGAGCAGGGGCTGGGGTGTGCACGT